CTATCCAATAAAAAAAAAACAAAATCGAACCATAAACAAAGATTTTGCAAGGGTGTACAGGTCTTAAATGGGACACACTGTATGTATGGTATTCTATTCACTATTAACGTAGCGGTATTTGGTATCAATCATATTTTAAGAAAGTTGCTACCTACGTAGTGAAAAACTTATTGATTTTTCTGAACCTTCGATCCCAAACTTTATTGCAACGAAAAATGTTCTTTCCCGTTTATGGGTATCAGATTTTTTATTCTTTCTCCGTCGAAACTTTTCTTATAACGTTCACAAACTGACAAGCATAACTTTCACGGTTGAGAACTTATCTCTTATTATTTTTTCTGATTACCCAATACTAATTATGTAAAGTTGAGATTTTATTTTATTTTTCTCTTTTTGGTGTATGGTTGATACGGTAATAATAAAAAGCAATCGCAAAAGATTTCTTCGTGAGCAAATATTGGAGTTTGTAACATATTTGTAACGGTTTAGTCCTTATCACATCCGGGACCAGTATATTCACCTCTTTCGTAGTCAGGAAGTTGATTTATGTATTTATTCTTTTCGTCGGAAGACCTTTTCGAAGCCGTCGTGACACTACCGTCAACCCCTAAGGTGTAGAGAAATGATCTATTAGCTTATTTTATACAAAAAAGGTTCCCATCCGTCAAATAAATCGGGGTAAGAAATTTTGGAAAATTCATTCTTGAGACACAGAGCGATATGGAGCAGGAAACGAACGTTATAAGTGATTACTGGATATTTTTGCTCCCCTTTAAATCATATTTTATTGTTACGGTAATTTGTCGTGTCGCGTCTTGCGAACTAATACACTTGCTAATGTTATTGAACTAAGCAACGTAATTGAACAGCTAAAAAAAAACAATATTCGAATTCAACTCTCTCTGTGCTTTAAGTTCATGCCACGTCTAAGTATAATTACATACTTAATTAAAAAATAATAACTTGGCCATATAAGCCAGAAAAATACTAGACTACATAATCATTTGACGATATGCTTTTGATCTAAAATGCACCGGCACAATACTTATGTTTCAACCATTTAGTAAAGATATAAAAGCCCTACGTAATGCTGATAATACAGGAACGTATGAAGCACCTAAAAAAATAAAATAAGGAGGCCCATTCAACATGCGCAGAAGCGAGATTTAAAATCTCGTATTTAGCCAATGACCTTGCGGCATTTAACGACCAAAATGGCCGCTGACAGATCAACAATAAGTTTGGATGCGGCGTTTTTAAAGGAGTTTAGTGTGTGGATATCACTGTTTAGAAAAAACATAGCGCAAAGTGGGTAAAAATCTCTACGAAAATATCAAGTATAGTCTGTTCATAGATATAAGAAAGTGACCAATTGCTTTTGAATCCAAGGGTGGTCAGTAACATACAATGCAACAGGATTATTACCTAAAGTTTCGGAATTTAAATTCAGGTAAAATTGTGGTCCGTAATAGAAAATAATTTTATACCTACCTGTGTTTAATATTCTTTGGTTTGGTATACTACTTAGTTTAAGTGTATTAGTAATCATTATTATTTCGTGTGTAATACAGCGTGTGTTGAATCGTGTGCGAATTATGCAAAATATGTGCGAGTCTAGTGTATCTTAGGAGATGCTCCCTCCCAAATGAAGAAAACACTATTAAGATTAAGGAAGTTATAAACAATGTTTATTTGACTCTCATTGAACGTGATGCCAGCAAGCAAGCATCTTTAGAAGAAACGGCCACATTGACGAAAATTCCAACATCAACTGTATGGAAAATTGTGAATAATCCTATTTCAGCGAGGAAAAAAACAAGCGATGGTGACATTTTCTCGAGTGTTGATGAAAGTGTTCAAGATATAATCCGGCGTAAAATTTACCAGTTATACGAGGAACAAAGCGTGCCTACATTAGATATCTTAATTAGGAGGCTTGAAAAAGATGAAATCGGTGTGAAATGTGGCAGAACTACCTTATGGAAGTGTATTCAACACATAGGTTTTAGATTTAAAAAATTGACAGGAGGCGAGTTTTAATGGAATCTTTTAGAATTCGGAAATGGCGACTGGAATATCTAGAAAAAATTATGATTTACAGAGAACAACAAAGACCAATTATTTACTTGGATGAAACCTGGTTCGACGCTTATGATACCCCAGAAAAGGGTTAGGTTGACTCAACTGATAAGTGTAAAACAAACGCGCCATCAAAAAGAGGTAAAATAATTAATATTTTGGATGGTGGTTCTAAAGACGGTTGGATTCCAAATGGACTTTCTCTGTCTGCGAAAAATATTAAAAATTCTTCTCTCATTGAACGTGGTGCCAGCAAGCAAGCATTTTAGAAGAAACGGCCACCTTGACGAAAATTCCAACATCAACTATACGGAAAATTTTGAATAATCCTATTTCAGCGGGAGAAAAAAGAAGCGATGCTGCAAATAATTGCAAATAATATAGAATAAATAATAATCAGAATAGCCGACGATAGCGATAGTGATATTCATATATTATGTGAATAATTTTAAGTAATTTAAGTAGGTAATAAAAATAATTTGTAATTTTATTTTAAAATTTATGTTACAAAGTCTAGATATATTTATCAAATACGTCTTTTTTAAAATTGGATATCATGATTTGGAAAAAGTTACTGAACTTGAACTGCAAAACATCTTGGATTGCAAAAATCGAACAAATGTAACCGCCAAACGGAAGTCCCTAGTGAGCATAGCTACGTGCAATTGTGAAGGAACTTAAATCGTACATTCCGTCTTTATCTAATCCGATAAATCGCTTAATGATAGTAAGATTCGTTGGCTAGGACTGACTCCAGGGTTATTTGCTAATTACACATAAGGCCCAGCAATTCAACGTTTCGCGATATTATTGGTCTTTATTGTTCCCGAGGCTGACTGCTCTAAAATTAATTGTCGACCATCTTACTTCAGATTTAGTGGCGGACATAAACAACGCTCAAGCGAGCGCGAATGAAAACAGGCATTAAAAGTAGAAGCAATAAAGTCGATGGATTCGCGGCTCTCGAGGTAACCGAATGTTCGAGTCATTAAAGCAAATCTTGAAGTTTGTATTAAACCGGGAAATTAAGTTTTAGGGGCGTTTCACCCTCGACGTTTAAAGCACGTTTATTTAATCTGCTGTGGATTGTTTACTCCGGTTATACCGTTAGTCTACTTGCGATATGTTGGCCGTAATTAATAAACAAACATTATGATGATCGATTAAAAACCAACCCAGTTTAAAAATTTATCTCGAAGACATGGTAAATTTTCTGAAGAGTAGAGGAATTTTGCCTAGACTGGCTACTACTAACTAATCCATTCGAAGGGGTTAATAGAATATCACACGAAGAAGCGCACAAGATATACCCCCTTAGGTATGAATATAAATGACTGCTCGCAGCGAAACTCTTCAACGAAGTTTAATTTTACTTTGCAACTAGGTCCTAGCACATTGTATTCAATAGTTTTTGGTAATTTTTGATAATCCAAATTCAAATACTTTCGCTGAACGTTAACAATTCCAAATTTGAAACGGGTAGAATCCCCTGATTTGTCGTCTTTTCCTGATTTTGAGGATTTAGGTTAGCAAGAGTACAACAAAAAAGTCATATTTATCACAGGATATTTTCATGAACGATGAAGCACTGAAACCGAGTATTCAAAATTATTATTATTGCGAATTCTGGCGAGTAGCAAATTAAATTTGAAACTATGGAGTATTGATAAGGAATTTAAAAATACTACAAAAATATACCCGATTTACTTTACAAGTCATAATTTTTGTTGTTTGGTTTTGGTATTGAATTTTATCGTTTGAGATTTGGCAGTTTTGCAGATATTCAACCGTTCCAGTATTTTTTACTAACCCGGTATATATAACCCGCTGCTTCTGGCGCATATTTCGAGCTCCATATCCCTGTGTTTTGCTATTTTCCTTCCTTATGTTTTTCCTACCATATGTTGACGCATTCCATCTAAATACGTAGTCTTTTCTTTCTGTTTCGGGGATAATACTCCATTGACCTTTCTGGTGATCTTTCCTCTCTCATTATTTTTACGTATCCATAGCATAGTAACTATCTTGATTCAATGTTGTTGATGCTGTCTTGTTCTTCTTATAATCTCCTCCATCCTTGATATTTGGCATGCCCTTCTCAAAAAGTCCATCTCCACTGTCTCGACCATTCTTTTTTCTTAAGTTACATTTGTTTGGATGGATATTTTATTTGTTGCCTTGTTGAACTCTCCTCTGTTTTCCTTTCTCTCAGTTTCCTAATTTCGATATAATGCTTCCTACACTTTTTAATTTCGCCTATTTGCGGTTCAGGAATTTCACTTGACTTTCTTAGTACAAATACACCTGAATTTATTAAAATAGGATATATCGGTTTGATTACACCATGATTGTAATAATTAGATAATAACAAAAGTTATTTATATGCAAGAAGATGTTTTTCAGAATAGTTCTTTTGTCAAGTGTCGATGAAAGTCGACTTGTTAAATTAAACTTAATACCAATGGAAATAAATGGAGCCAATATGACAATTGTCACATTTCCTAAAAACAGATTAAAATTATGTCGTTCACGGATAGGTCTGCAGCTTCTACAATTTTTACACATTTACTTCCTACACTTTCAACTTGACACCTATTTTACATTGCGGATTTGGGAAATCTGAAGAAGGGGCGAAAAAGAAAATGTAGGTCGCTACTACCTAAATTATGTATAATTAATCGAGCTTAAAGTGTCATTACGGTTGGCGTAAATTCTTGCCTTGCCGTAAATAATTCAAAAACAAAACTGGAAAAAGCTTTTAAAGAGCAAATGACGAAATTTCCTTTTATGAAAACAAAAATTTACTCGGCTTAACAATTGTCTTCTTATTTAAAAATTTGGATAATTTGGCAATTGTTACAATTTGCGATATAGCATGTAAGTCGAAATTTTTATCGACGAAGTTGCTTCTGTTGTTACAGGCTGCTGGAGGCACGACAACAGAGCAGCCGGTGGTAGTGCGGAGGGTAGCAAAGCGCAAAGGCGTTCGAGTTCCGGAATATCGGGCCGTTTCGGCGATTATGGGTGCGACACTCCGTGGGAACTTATAGAGTCTGCAGCTAGATTCATGAAATCAAAACAGAATGATAATGTAGAATTCGTACTTTGGACTGGGTAAGTAACTTTCTGTAGAATATTTATGTGGTAATTTCTGTATACCTATTTAAATAAAGCAACTTCGTTGCCTTTGTAGATGTGTAGAATGTTAAAGTTCGGCCAAGTATTTACCGTTTTTACAATCTTTTATAGTTTTGACTTTGGAATCATTTTAAAACCCGCCTGTTGTAAAGCGGATAGGACCATTATTTTCAGCACGTGTACCACAAGCAGGGCCGTATTTAAGGTGTTAGCCGACAAGAACTGTGCCTTGCGGACTGTTGTATTTTAAGAGTAGGGAAATTCTCTTTGATTAGACTGTTATATTAATTCATATTAGTGTGCTTGTTATAAATCTTCCTAAAATAGTCCCTACATAGATGAGTTGATTTCTATATATTAAAAACACATTAGAAAGCTTATACTGATTTCAAATTTAAAGGTTTAACATAATGACTCAAGCAATACAAAATCTTATGTAGGTAATTGATTTCTACTGGATGTTTTCCCAGTTTGCTATTGGTTGATTTGTGGGGGTTAGTGAAATCGAAGTATGCTGTCAGTTATATGAAACAGTATTTTCTTAGCCATCGAATATTCGGAGTTGTTTCTATTCCGTCTTGTGTTTGTAATTAGTAATTATCAACCTACTGCTATTAAATTGTCTTTCAAGACTCAGTATGCACTTTTACCGAGGTACCATATACATTTTATTACAATATATTTCTTACTGAATACTAACATCATTCAATTTTGTTAGTCACTTGCCATGTAAAGCAAAGAAAAAATTTGAGATTGTGGTCGACGACGTATTATCGTTGATAATGAATATCCGTCAAATTCAAATAGATCAAAAACGCGGACACATTTGCCCGTTGCTGCCAAAGTTATAATTTTAAACGTGTGTCTGTTTCTGAAATCGACATCTGGGGAAACTGGAGCAATAAAATTAAGGTCTGCGATTATTAAAACACCATATGTAGTTGTGAATGGTGCATGCACCATGCCGGAATAACGAGACGGTCGACATATCATGTTTATCAGAAGAATATTGTTTCAACAAATAAAACTTTACATGAAGAATTGTGTTGTGTTTTGAACAGTAACTGTTGCCAAGAGAAATCCAAGAAATTCGTGCTAAAACGTCGTCATCATATATTTAGATGAGGCGTGGTTTGATACCGTCAAGAGAGGATGGACTGATGGTAACAGGAGGAAATGTTCGTTACATGTGACAGTTTCGCGGGGCCAACGAATTACGTAGATAACGCTTTGCTGCTTTCTGCAAAAGATGTCAAAGAAGCAAAGGTTGACTACCACGAAAACATGACAGCAGACATCTTTGCTTCCCAATATCCCACCAAACAGTGTTGGACAACGCCAGAAGTCATTCAAAATTTTTTGCTTGAAATTGATTTGTATTTTGAAAATTCCCACACAAAAAGCAGTTATTGAAACGGGAACGTTTGAAAAGAAGTATTATATGGACAAGTTGGCCATGGAGCGACGATTCAAAGTTGTCAGTCTTCCACCACATTACGGCAATTCTAACCCGATAGATCTGATGTGGGGACAGTTGAAACGCAGTTTAAGAAGAAACAACACCTCGCCGAAATTTAGTTCTGGCGCAATACAATTAATTATAAGGGCAGTAGAAAAAATATCTGCTTGTAGTTGCAAAAAAATCTGTGGAACAAAATGTTTGTACAAGTCGAATAGTGACAGAATGAATTATTAATGTGGAGAACGAGTCCAGTGACGATAGTGGTTACCTTGATGTAGAATAACTTTTTTTTATATAAATAATCCAACATTGTTGTGTAGCTAAATTTACTCCTTCATTTATATTCATAATAAACAATTTAAAGTAAAAATACATTTTTCACTGCATGGACTAATAATAATCGAGGAACATTATACTTGTTCAAGTTGGATTTTGAAGCTTGGATTTGGAAATAACATTACCTAAATGTTTATTAAATGTCAGTGCTTTGTTGAATGTATTTCCAAAATCGTTCATGGTGTCTTTTTTTATAACTCGATGTTGACTTTGGAGCTTGTGGAAAGATATATGTTTGCATTTTCTCGCATTGAAGCGCAGGTAATCAATATTACACCATACCACGAATTTGTCTAGTTCACCTTTAAATGGTTGAGTTGTATTGTCAACAGTGCAGAACTTTTTCAAATAATCTGCATACATCAAGCTGTGTGCTCGTTTTGAAGTAGCTAACGATACCGCTGATTCACAGCATTGAACGATATTGGAAAGACTTGAATCTCATTACTATATCAATCAAAGTAATAGGAATGAATATACCGTGTCTACATTTCGACCAATTAAGGGAGAATAGAACATTTCCATATTAAGTGTGTTATAAAATGTTTTCAACACCAAAGAATTCAATTCAATATCCTAAAAATTATAAACAAAAAATTCCCAACTATTAATTTTACTTATGAAAAGGTCTTACCTTGATGGTGAAAAATACGAATAGATATACGTTTATGACATATTAATCAATTCATTGTCATCAATCAACATTTGCAGCCTTCCAGTTCATGGGGTGTAAATAGATCAGCTTTCAATTTAGTAAACGACGTGTTTGCGATAAAATGAATCGCATTACTTCTATAGCTAAAATTAATTGATATACTACGAAAAGCAATGTTGAACATTTCAGACACAGGCGATAAAGTGAAGACATGTTGCATTTAAAAATTAACTTGAAGTCCTTCAAATTTTGGAAAACTCCCTCAATAAATGTGTCCGTCTTAAAATTATATGTAAACATTCTATAATTTCCTTTCCTTCATGGTGAAGCATTCCACTTCCTCCGGTAGAGGTTGATCATTTTGCTTTAAGTAAAAAACGTATTTTTGATTAAATGAATCAGATCAAATCTGCAACTAAGTTTAATAGATATTTCACTTTTTAGCATGGTTGAAAATATGTTCTATGAACTCCCATAAAATCCGATAGTAACTTAAAATTGATGAAACTCTAGCAATATAATTTAATTTTTTTTTTCTATGAAGCACCACTGTTTCCTTAAAGATCGGGGGATCAATTTAAGAACGCAACGAACCCAAAAACTAGAACGTACACGCCGTATTTCACAAAGTTGCAGGATGTTATAGCTGCCGGTCTCTATTAAATAAAGTTTGATGTAATGGAAAAATGTTTGATGTCGTTAGATCCGGACTCTTTCATAAGTATCTTTATATTGAAATGTCTTTCCCTGTGGCTACGCGGAATATTCGAGTAATATTTCCGCATTGGAAAAGTTTCATCGAGCGAAAAGCACTGACGTTTATCTAAATTTTTCAGAGTAATGGAATTTAAGTTCATATGAGTTCGGAATCGAATGATCTTTTTGAGGCGACATTTTTGTTAGCGAAGCTGCATTTTCAAAGACAAAAAATACAGTACCTTGGTAGCTAATGAAAACTTTTCGCTCGAATTTTGCTAATTGTGAAGCAAAAATGTTTAAAGGAAAGTTATTTTTACCATTGAAATTCTTCGTAAACATGTTAAAAAAATAATCTTGCACATTAATTGCAAATTAGCGGTTTCCGAAGTATAAACTAAAACATATTATACAGTCCAAAGATTTTTAATTTAATTATAATTTCCAATTACACTTTCGTTTTGTGGTTGACATGGAACATCTAATGGATACTAGTGAATTAGAATATATACATGACCTACAAAAATACAGTTAATCGTGTAACAAGCTTCTTATACACTTTTTAATAATTTATTAGTCTCTACTACAAAATCCCAAATTTATATCAAACCTTCTGAAAGACATAGCTAATTTGCCAAAATGTAGCCAAATCTGAAGGACGTAGAAAAAGTATACTATTCAACACGTTGATAAACTTCTTCAATCACAAGTTATTTACCACTCACTCCGCTGTGCTCCGCTCGTACCAAATCAAACTCTTGATCACAATAGCATTTATCTAACTTGATGCATAGTTTACTAATAAATGCAGTTTTTAATGTACCAGTTTCTATGATATGATTAGATGACAATGTTATACCAAATGCAGCTCAAAGTAGCCATATAGTTAGTGGTGGTAACTGTGAAGTTATGAATGAACTTTACTCTTGCCACAATCTTGTAATTTTTATGTATAATCATAAAGTACAATCTTATCGAAAATCTTAGCAAAGTGTAATATGCAGATGAGTAGTTGTAAAAACCGCTGTGAGTTAAATTTTTAGTAGTAAATAAAATAACTTTTAATTACAACTTCAATTGTACAAAACTCAAAGCATTTTGCAGATATATGTTGAGAAATAACATTATCTCATTGAGACAAGTTCATTAGCTTCGCTGTAGAAAGTAATTACGATGTAGATGTCATCACGCATTATGTTCAAATTCATTAAACTTTGTCACGGATTTTAATGGATCTGCATGTGTTCTGCATTCATCACATCTTGAACTGAAGTGGCTTTTACTTGATGAAAATCCATTTAAAAAAATAAATAAGAACTAAAAGTTCAGATTTTCACGAAATTATATATTTTTACATAACAATTGTTTCGACAACACCGTGTCTTTATCAAATGTACATTTGATAAAGACACGGTGTTGTCGAAACAATTGTTATGTAAAAATATATAATTTCGTGAAAATCTGAACTTTTAGTTCTTATTTATTTTGATTCATCACATCACTCATGAAAGCTATTATTATTAAATGGCAATGTTTAATAGAAAAAGTTTTGTATAGGAGGGTATATACCGGGTGACACAAGAAAGTGGCAACTTTCTATAACTTTTAAACGGTTTGAGATCTCGATTTGAAATATGGAAAGGTTAATATAGGCTGAATGTCCAATTTTTGCATTTCCAGTTTGAGCGGTAGTGGTAGAACCTATATTTTCTGCACTTTTGGATCAGGAGATCATTCTATGTTGGATATTACGGTCTTTCTCTTTTTTTTGTTTTTTTCTTTTAATTTTTATTTAATGTTTCAAAATTGTGTCTAGGAGGCTGTGAC